GGGACCGCTTTGGCCACATATGGATCCGCTTCCTCATCGCGACCAAACACAATCAACTGCAAGTAAAGCTTCGTCAAGCAAGAATTCTCAAATGCATGGGAAATGAATATCTATAATAATAAAACAGTACAAAATTATTTTCTTTTTGAGTTCCGATAAATAAATATCCCTTACATAAAGAATGTTCATTATGATACTGCTTTTTGATTAAAAATAATGCTGCTCTCATGTTGAACGGTGAGGGTTTGATTTTAATTTTGCTCATTCGTTTCGATGGTAAATTGGTACTGGCATGCGCTAGGAACCTCAAAATTCCACCACATTGGAGCTAAGGATTCGCTATCGGCCTTCTACTGTCAATCTCATATTACTAGTAAATATGGCGAATAATGTGAAATAACCCGATTCGCATTCACGTCTAGCGTCAGGCGATTGTCGCTCACTGCAGATGTGGACGAATTCGACAGCACGTGAGATTTCAGGAGCTGCGGATCCATAACTGTTTTGGATTTGTCAAGGGAGCGCATTCTGCGATAACCAATATGTGGTGGTGACAAAGAGGCGCCTATATCGACGTTCAGATCAACGCCATTCTCGGATTCGTTGTTCATCGCCTCGTTATTTGTATAACCACCAGGTTCAATGTTCATGTTCGCTGAATTGGAAGAAACAACGGAAAATTGTGAAAAAAAATGGCATGCAAGAACGACTGGAAAAAGGAAAAGCTTGGAATTTCAGAACCAGTGAGTTCTTAACTGTATTGAATTTTGTTTTTTTGATTTCGTATTTTATAAGCAGTCCAGGTGATCACTCTCATAAAATGTTCACCGCCACTTTGGATATGATGTACCAACGATACTGGGCTAAACTTGCACGTTGACAGCGGCTAAGTTAGTTCCTCCTTTCATCCTGAGCTTCATTTATCCTCCAGTTTTTACTTACTAACACATGCAGGTGCCATCTTTCTGAAGGGTATACATATGGTCAACTTCTTCTTTCTCAGTGATGACCGCTAACTGGTGTCCATCAACTGCCAGCAAGAAGTGGGACATATGACGTTAATCTGATCTCACAAGGTGATAGACCAATCAAACACATTTTACTGTTTCTTTTGGCAACCCTGTTGACTTTTTTTTAGATATTTCATAAAATTTGTGATTATCCTGGCTGCTCATAACGCATTTTGCATGGACATACCTTCCTGTGTTACTTCGTATTGCAACTGCTCATCAGCTGGCGGAGCAGATGGCTGTGGTGCTGGAGCACCATCACCCCCACCAGAATCATTTTCCGAGGGCTCTTCTCCATACGATATCCCTGGAGCTTTGCCACCATCATCATCCCCGGTGATTGTGTCGACATTTGGATTGGTGATAAGTTTACAAGCGGGCGGCTAAAAATGAATGATACGTTTGGAACTTTGACTGAACAAAAGCATACGATTTTACTCGAATCTTAGAAAGAATGTACGGGAAGCGATAGCGTAGAACTCACCGTTATTCCCTCACAGCCATTTTCCTCCTTGGTGCACAGGGTTATTTTGCATTGAAAATGCACGACTAATTGTTCGGCAAATTTGAATGCAGGTACTAATGAATACGCGACCGTTAAGTTGTTATCATACGCCAGTGGATCTATTAACGTATGATCCGTTATGCAGCTGCAAATTGGAATAATAAGATCAGAGATAATTGATATAAATATCGTAAGTATCGATGGATACACTGGGGAACAGCATGTTTTTCAATTCTTAGCTATAAATACAAACAGACTAAAAAGTGTGATTAAGAATGGGAATCATCATTAGAGCCAAATCTTCTTTCCAGGCAAGCAACACTTGAATGAGGCATTGTAATAACTCCTACAGCTCATGCAATACATTGATAAGTTAAGGACCTGGTTTTTTTCTTTTTTGGAAGCAACGCAAAGCTAACAAAAAGCAAAATAACTCTCATAATTACCATAGTGATACGTAATGTCACTTTCGTACAGAAGGTAAAGAGTTCGGGTTTGTCAGTGGGATAACCAGTTCCTCTAAGATTTATCAGTTACTTTTGATGGTAATTTGGTAATGGCATGCCAAAAGTCGAACCCGTCACCATTTTAGATCAAGCCTCAAAAGATGAGTTTCTCGCTGGCTCTTGTATACTGCCTATAGTATTTTTGAGCGCCTCTCATAGAAAGCGATTTACGAGAGAATTTTGATTTTGTCTTGAAATACTTCCCTGCTAGAATTGTATTTGTTTTTCAGTGCGAATTTTTCATCTAATTTATCTTCCGTTTCATTCCGAACTATTCGTTTTTCCAAGTGAATAACACGGGGGTGCTTACGTGAAAAACATGCAAGCAGCGCCAACCTGTTCAGTACATTACTGCTCGTCAGAACTAGGGAATTATTTTAAAGTAATTTAAAGCGTGAAAAATGGTTTACCCCCGTTCATCGATGATCTCAAACGCGATGCCACCAGGATCACGAACAAGACAGGAATGAACGAGCATACCGTATTCTTCTACAAATCATTGCATCAGTTAACACATTAGAACGAAGAGTCTGCGGTGTTTACGCGTTTTTGCGACTAACTGTTTCCTAATTCTCAGTGTATTCCAGTGCTGCCTGGTGAATGCACTATTTTGAAACGATTCTTGTCCCCCCAGCGACTGGGTTTACTCGCTCCAAATGAATCAATTTTTGCGCTTTTTTAACTCAGTTCTTTTTAAGTTAATTCAATTTTTCACATTTTTCTTTCCATCAAAACTGCTTTGTTTCCACCTTAATGCAAAAGAGAAGGCAAATAGGTTTTTGCCACTTCTGTGCTCTGAACGGGACCCCTTTTGCAACCGATATAGGCCGTAAGGGAAGCAAACCTCTCATCTTTACTGCCCCGGATTCTTTGAATTGAGACGTCTTACACATTATATTACTAGCCCTTTTACCCTAAATTTAGCAACAGTACTATATAAAACTAAGCACATGCCACCCAAGTGCATGCAATAAAACTGCCTGGCGTTGCTTATTCGAGTAGCTCCTGATAATTTCCATAACAGACCGGACAAAGAAAACTTTTACAAACAGCATTATTAATCTGTTTTGAACAAAGAAAAAAAAGCGGACATTCAAAAACGAAAGCTTGGAAGAATGGAAATAGTTATGAAGTTAATATAAATTTAATTTCTTAGTCTACACAGAATTTTCAAATTATGGCCTTCCATACATCGCAAAAATCGTCTGTAAAGACCTTTGTTTTTTTTCCATCATTATTTCTACTAATACTTTAACTGTTATAAATGGTACTTGAATTACAGCTCCATTTATGGATCAGGTGTTCACCAATGGTCGCATATTTAACTGGCTCCCCAGCCACTGAATTCTTCAACACTTCATACACACAGTCCGGCACAACCTCGCTGTTGGAAAGTTTCGTTGGTGACAAACCACTAATAATAAAAATCATAAATATGAGAGCTGAATAATGAAGTAACTGATAAAATGGGAAGGTAGAGCTGAGGGTAGAAGACTCATAATAAAATGATTTTTTGGCTTGTCTTCAACTGTGCGACAGAAACAAAGGGCTTGACGCAGTGATCCTCATCTGGTAGTACTTTCCGGAACAAGGGAAAATACTCATCCTCGCCTTTAGTAATGAAGGCCATCGTAAGCTGGAACTAATGGGGTGAGATGGAGAATGCAGAAAAAGCTTATTTGGATTAGCAGAGTGCAAATTTCAATCGGAGTATTTGTTCTGTGGTGATAAACCGAATCGAAAAGCCTCAGTTATGAAAATATGAGTGCAACAAAAATACGAGCTATTGAAATTTTGAACCATCAGCTATGCGATGATGTGTCTAGAAAATAGGCCTCGCTTTCATGTAAAGAGAATTGGATGCCAGAAATGCATGAAATCGAGATGCAGCAAATTTAACCGAAGGAATTTGAAATCGGAATATCTTTCGCTAAAGTGGAAGCACTGCTTCAAAGCTAGATAAATAATAGCAAAATGAAATTTGAAGAGGACAATTTTGGTCAGTTGACCGATCAGACCTGAAGGTTTGTGAAGCTGCATGTGCTACTTGTAGGGTTATCTGGATTCATGTACATGCAGGCAGAAAATAAAGAATATTAAGTCCCGTTCGCTTGACGCAAGAAGGTTATCATTGTTACCTGACTTCCATATCCTGCACAACATTTTCGTAATTTCCGCGGTAGAAGCAATTGACGCTGTATGCCTTATCGGCTTCTGTGAGAAACAGATAATGATGCTGAACAATGATCACCACATGATAATTAATACCCGGCGGATCGCTCTGCAAAAAAGTCCGTTTCACGTAGGAAGGGCCAATTTAACATAATTATGCTTCGTACCACACGCCGGACAAGACGTTTGCCATATTCTGCTAACAGTTATTGTACGTCTGACACTATACCAAAAAAGCATAAGCTTCGAAGGGACGATACACGTAAGCGGCGGGGAAGTGCATTGGCTGTAGAAGATGTCTAGAAAGAAAAAAAATATTACTGCATGAGCGCTCGCGAGGTTGACAGAGGCTAATTTAGAGTATCTATAGCAGCCTGGGTAAACATAGATCCCAGTTAGAGATAATTATTGAATTTTAAAAGCACGCACTTGCTTCTCACGTTTCACGTTGCATCCACTTCTGTATGGGACATGGAAAAGAAAGGGTTCATATAGAGGATTGCGCGTGTAATCCAAATGGCATTTGTCGCTCATGAAAAAGCCCTTCACGTAGATGTGTCCGTAAAATGGCTTCTCCGGCTTGAAGTGCAGTCGCAGGCCATCCGCAAAACATTCCTAAACAATGCTCGGCACTGATTTTGAACATTAAATCATAAAACAAAAGTCAAAACCCCTCCGTATCTGCTCTGTTTGAGAAATCGAAACACTTTCAAATATTCCGAGAATGGCAATGGCCTGTGGAGCAAGGCTGCAAATGGTTTCCCCTCATTCGAGGGTTGCATACAAACAAACAAACAGAGGGTTTGACTATCCTGGCATAAGTCAGTACCAATTACCGTCAAAGCAAATGAACGATTCATAGAGAGGTTGGTTGTCTCACTGGTGAAGCTGAACCATCGATCTTTCTCATAACAAAAGTGCTACTTCTTCATGCCTTTCCGCATGTATAAAACTCATAAAAATCAATTAAAAATATTTACAGATAGCGAATGAAACACGGAGGTCGATACGATTATTTTTTGTGACGCTAATTATTGGCTATTGAAGTTTGGATCGTTTTCGAAAACTCTTGCATCTTTGAGATTCAGTTGCTCCTAACCGTTTAAATTTAATGGTAAGATGTATATGACTTAATGAACCGAAACATTTCTTACCGTTATAATATAGTTTACAAGTTTTTAAAATTTCTACCAATTTCTTAACATTATTTGCTTTGTCTTCTTCCAATTTTAGCAAATTTTTCTATTCTATTAACTTGATATTGCGTTCGGACTGCATGGACAAATAGAGCGCTCTCAAGACCGACTACCTGCTATTTTTGTCTTTTTTAGCAGAGTGTTATTAGCTAGACTGATAAAAAACCGAAAATTTTGTCATTTTATTTAAATTGTAATAAAGGATGCAATGCGGGCATGTCATAGCGGGGGTATTGCTGCTGTCGTGCGGAAGCTTGAGGATCGAACTCTGACGGCGGGGAAAATAAGTCTCTGTATCAATCGTTCATTCGTTTCGATGGTAAATTGATACTGGCAGATTTATACCAGGAAGTCAGACCAATCATTAGCTAGCTTGTAAGCAACTTCGAAAAATTGAGCCATCGACGTTCCTGGCAGCAGTTAGTTATCCTAGCAATACTTTCGAGTGCCTTCATCTCCCACAGAAAGTGAATACGGAACTCGTTATCACTTTGACTGTACGAAATAAAATCACGACAATTTGATCGCGGGTGTTTCCGCCTACGAATTTACTTTTGTTAACCGTTTACTACAGATACTAGTGAGTTTTTTTTTTTTTTTTTTTTAGAGTTTACAAGTAGTTTATGGGAAGCGGATACGGAGAGTTTTGAATTTTGACGCTTTAGTAGAACTTATTGGAAACGCTGCTCGTTGCCGCTGCTTCCTTCTGATCATTTTGGAATTCTACCAAAGCCTTAATGATAGAGGATCTGATGTTCCGTTACAGCAAAGTAGATTACCAGTGTTGGTTGTTGTTCGAGAGCTTGCACATGGCGCAGTAGTAATCCGACCAAAAGTAGCTTCAAATGAATAAAGAGTTGTGTAAAAATATAGAACTGAGAAGGATATGTAGTGAATATGCAGAAAAACCCGCTCATTGCGGGTTGAGCCGAACAACTTCTTGCACGACCGTCGAGAGTTTGCGTTGCAGTACCAAAGTAT